GGTCCTCTCAAAGCACATGTGCACCAGCTCTTCTAAGTCGGATAATACTATAGAAGAATGGCTTTCCCATATGACTGTGGGTGCACATGCCATGAAACAATCCCGTGTCAGGATACGGGCTCATGTTCCATGAGCCGACCATTCCATACAAGGCGAATACTCTTTTAAATACTCAGGTTCTATTATTCTCGATTGGATTCTCTAAGCCCTGGCTTATCACATCAACTATAAGGCATTTTAATCAATATAGTCCTGACTGGGACATGACCCTCACACCTCCCCAAGAGTTCACACTCTCAAATGTATACTCTCAATGCCTCGAATACTCGAGGTATAGGAATCTGGGCCCCAGTGTGCCAAGCACCGAGATTCAGTCTCTCTCTAACCCCCACTGCGCAGAAGACCCTTGGCTTTAAGGCCTTGAAAGGCCACATAGCCAAATAGAGAAAGGCTTAAAACTGAATCATTGCATATGAATCAGTGCCAAATAGAGAAAAAATCATATGCAGTGTCATAAACTTGAGAACCACGATTCGAACCTGCTAGGAACGCGGATCACAATATAGGGATCCGCATTCCATCCAAGATTCCTAGCTGGAACTGCACAATCGAGGTTCCAGAGTGGGTCCATGACCTTTCCTATAGGGTTCCAGCAACTATGGATTATAGTGTCGGCACAGGATTGGTTGGGTTTTGGTTCCCAAAGATGCGTCTGCAGAGTTTGCTCCAAGATAGCTCAAAGAGGCCAGTTGAATGCAATGGGTCCAAAATAGCTCATTGAGGCCAGTTGAATGCAATGTTGGTTAAGGTTTATTAGCTATGGAATGTATAGGCCTCAGCCTGAAGAATGAGGCTTATAAGGATAAGGGCCTTAACCTCAACACTATCATTCTTCACGGCATGCAGACATGAATTCCAAATTGACCTGATATTGGTTGGGGTCCTGAATTCTGGGATCAATTTATGTATGTGCCGAAGAGAGCCACCTCACTACCTCTAGTAGTACTTGAGGCTGTTAGAAAAAAGTCACCGCCTGATTTTGGATGGATATCACTTATCCACGAGAGGAGCACCTACAATCCGATATAATTATATCTTATCTACTTCTTGGCTGATTTTGATGGGCAATCATGAGCCCCTCACTTGAGATGACTAGTAGTCATGGGACCATTGGGTTAGTTTATAAATAGGTAATGTTTACCATAATTACTTGTGAATGCCTCGTTGAATAGCAACTTTTCTTCCCATGACATGCTCAAACTTCCAATGGAATATTTCTAGGCTTTCTAAAGGGCATTTAAGGAGAATAAAATAGCTTTTACTTTTTGAATTTATTTACATGTGTCGTGTTCAATAATTCTGATAAAACAAATGGGAGCGTATCATGAATTAATATTTTATTTTAATGCAGAAGGGTTATGAGTTTTAATGGGTTTCATGTTGATCACAAGTGGGCCAATCCTTTGGCACATGTCGGCCACATGATAACCTAAAGACCATGTGGGCCCATTTGAAATGGTGTCCCACGTGGCAGCAACTCCTAAGCCTAGTTGAAATAGGGAGGTATGCAATGAAAATTCAAATGAAGGAGGTACCTGACCTCCAGTTGGACTTTTGCATACTATTTGATTTTCTAATTCAAAAGGATTGAGGTGAGTAGAATCTAGTCAGTAAGGATGCAATCTCATAAAAATATTTTCTAAATATAGTGAAAGATTTAGTTATGAAAATCTTTAGATCATTATGGAAATCTAGCTCTAGTACTACTAGAGTAGGTCTGTAATGGAATTTGGAAGATTAATGGGAAGACTCCTATGAGACATATGGGTGGCTTTTCAATCCTCAGATCAGGATGACTGATCAAAGGCTCGATGACTTAGAATGAGCCTCTTTCACCTCTTAAGTTTACCAATTGTAAAGGAAAAATAAATCTACAATTCCAAACTAGTGCCTACACAAGTATATACAAACGGACATCCACCTTTATTGTCTATCATGAATTAAGACCTTGACAGAGTGAGAGAGAGGAGCGTGGAAAGAGGGGAGCCTTAAGAAGAGTTTTTCTTGTGAAGTTCTATGAAGAATAAATTTAAAAGAGAGAGGGTGGGGTTTGAAAGGTGGACTCGTGACCGGGCAAGTCAATACCGATTAAAATTTTTTTACCTTTTTATACGTATTGCCACCTCGATCACTTACAAGTGTCAAAAATACAATTTTAACTTAATGAAATAGCCAAGACCTCTCACTTGCATGCCATTAAAAGAAAACTACATTGATCATGTAGAACTGAAAATTACATAAGGAAGCGATAGAAACACGAAATGTCAAATACTGTGTACCTTGCCTCAGGTTACCCCCAAGGACTTAATACATCCCTAACTAGGTCTCCTCCACCGATGGCGCACGGAATCTTGGTTCAAGAACACAACTCACAACTAGGGAAGCCTAGGCAAAAACCTTAGAGAGCATCGCATGGGATTTCCTTGACCAAGGCTCAACGCATGAGCATGAGGCAAGGACCTAGGGCTTGTCGCTTGGGCGTGCCACCCAGGGTTAACTCTTTCATAAACCCTAATTTGGATGAGAGAAGAAGAGAGAGAAGGCTTGAGTGGGGCATGCCCCCTTTGGTTGCTTAGAGAGAGAGAGAGAGAGATCGAGAGATGTGAAATAGAACCCCCATAGCTAGTATTTATAAACAAAAGGCTAGGGTTTCTAGGGTTAGGGTTTTGCCATCATCGTGAGTTTTAATCTTCACCTTTGACCTTGGAGACCTATGGGGTGAAGAGATCTCAACCATTCATTCCCTAAATCAGCAATCATGATTAAAGGAAAGATGTTGAACCTTATCCCTTAGTTTCCATAACTCCATTCCCATCAAATATTTTGTGTAGTAATTCTAGAGAAAGTAATCAAAATTAATTTCTTACACATTCCTATTTTGAAATCAATCACAATAAATTTCTTACATCATCCTTTTTTGAAATCAATCACAATTAATTTCTTACACCTTCCTATTTTGAAATCAATCAAAATCTTTGCACAAAAAGGTCTCCTAAAATATCAAGTCAACATATGGCATAATTGTCATCTTTCAATTTAGGAAAGTATAGAGGAGGTGGGTGGCCATGTGGGCCTCACACCCCCCCCAAAATGGTGGGACCAATGAGCCAATTAGATAATAAAATAATTTTTATAAAACCTCTGAATATTTTATTTTTCTTTCTGATTAAAAAGAAATCCAGGAAATTGATTTTTCTCTATTTAAAAATTATTTTCCAATAAAATAAAATGCCTAGAGGGGCTTAAAAATTCATTTTAATATCTGAAAAATAATTAAAACATATTAAAACATATCTAAGAAAGTTTGATGGGAATTGGATCCATAGAGTTAGGATTACGACAAAAACACTGAGAACTCCATCCTCTCTAGAGTCCACATCTCACTACCCCGTCTCAAACTGACCCAACCGATCTCATGACGCACAACCCATCATAAGGGTTCATGATTGGACCATCAAAGTCATCCAATAAATGGAGAAGATACGATCCTAGACCATGGATTACAGGTCCCTACCTGAGGACAAGTCCGGGGCCCATTTCAACAATATACTCCATGGGTCCTTCTAACACAGTCCAGTGTTGCAGAGAGTCATCTCTTCTGCACATGTACACGTCACACACCCTTATCCAAACAGTTGCTTCTCAGACGACTATCTAGTGCACATATCGTGTGATGGTATGATGAGGATTTAGGCCCTTGTCCTCTCATGCCATCCATCACACACAGGGGTCAAATCCATGTCCCCTAGCCAACTTTCCTGGGCATATCTCCGACCTCATCTAAGAATAACCCCACATCGAAACCCTTATCGGTTGTGCTTACACAATGCTCAGGATTATGGGTTTTAAACTTCACATTAAGTCATAGCCAGTCAAAACTCATATGAGTCTAAGGCATTGTTAATGCCCTATAGCCCAAGCTGGACCATACTCCCATTGGAGTCAATAATTCATTATATATTTTCGGTACATGCTTTCATAAGGCCTTTAAATGGCCACAAAACCCCAATAGTGTTTGGAGAGAAAAAAGAGTTTCATGAGGTTAGAATTTTCGAGATAAGATTGAAACCTATGTAGCCTTCAACCTCCATCTCTTGCTCTGCAAACTAGCCACTAAACCACCTTAGAATAAGGATTTTGTCTTCTCTTTGGGTGTGGAACCAGTCTCCTGAAACAAAGGGGTGTAAGAAATCCTAAGAGTCACTCTAGGCACAAAACCAGATTTGTATTTTTAAACAAAATTTAACTGTTTTGGATTATGGGGGTTCAGAATGTGGAAGCAATCTTTCCAGGTCCAAGGTAGTTTTCTTCATTTTTTTTCTTCTAGTAAAATTTCACATTAAGCACATACAACGCTAGGGAGATATAGGTATTTTATTGGAAGGTGCCCCGCCTGATTCTCTGCAAAGATTGCTGGAGAAAAATTTAGAATACCAAGCAATTGATGTTTTTTCAGTCCATAGATTGCTTGTTTTAGTCCATATATTACCGTGTCTATCAAATAACGCCTACCCTGAATGCAATAACCCCCACATCATTAAATATGGATCTATCTTCTTAAGTCAGCTGACCCGAAATAATTGGGATAATGCTTGGATGATGATGAAGATCTGTCTTCTCAACACCTTTTGAAGGTTTTAAGCAATCCAGGGACTTGAAAAAAAAAAAAAAAATGGGCTATGATCTTTGTAATGGTTGTAAACGTTAGATTGTATCAATATTTTTATAAATAATGCCACAATTGTTACCTCATTTTGTTTTATAAGAGAAGACTACGTGAGGTGGTTTTCGCCTAATCTAAAACATACATGACAGCCTTATCAATTTATGAAGTTTCTTGAAGTAAAAGACAATTTGAAGAATGACGATAAATTATTGATCCGGTTCTTGCACTTCAAATGTACTTCACAGATAATAACTGCAAACAAATACACACTTACAGCCTCTTGACAGCCAAGTAGAAGGCTAAGGATTGCTTTCCACTGAAAAAAAGCTCCAAGAGACTGTCCCATCTGTTTTTCATTCACAGACATCAGAAAGACTTAGGAGACAGTCTGCTCTGTAGGAGTGGCAAGTGAATAAGTAATAAAAAAAAACAGGAGCGGAATGTTGAATAAAATACCAGAAAAGCAATAAAACAGAATTGAAGCTCCCCCAGCAGTAGATCTTCTTCTCCTGCAAAATTTTGCATCAGAATGCTTTCCAGTTGGTGTGTCTGGAGAAGGAAATGAGGTTCAAAGAACTGTTAGATATACAACAAAATATATTTATAGAAATGAAACAAAGGTAAGAATATGAACATCCGCAGATAAGACTATGAAACATAGATCATCCACCACCAAAAAATTTTCATCCTCTATCAGCATAAGAAAATGAACAATGACCACCATCAGAACATTAAAGGCAAGGCACTGATATTTGTGGCTTTGCAAAATCATGTTAAAAATAATCCTGATTGTACTCTATTATACAAAGTTTCCAGTATTGAAAAAAAACAAAAATCCAGTATATTCCTTAAGAAATTGCTCACCATCAGAAATTACTTACAGTATTAAACATGGCGGAAATCCTTTCTATGATATTAAAGATTAAATAACCTGACTCTTAGAAGCAAGCCAAAGGAGAAACAGGATAAACCTGATTTTATAGTGTAATTGAAGCAGATGAACTGCACCAATTGAGAAAGTAAGTAGAGATAAGATCAAAGTAGTAAATTGGACTACAACATTCAACCCCATGGCGAAATTGAGGACAAGAACAACCATTCTTCAAGTACACGCACTGCAGCAGTCAATCAATCAAATGGATGCAAAAATTCCTTTCCATGCGGTTCCATTAAAATATATACTGCAAGGATTTAAGACCGGCAATCTCTAGCCAAGGCATGTGTCAACTAGAAATCCATGTGTTCAATCAAGCAAGTATTGATCTACCAATCAAGTGAATTCTTAGCATACATGGACATAAAAGATGTGCAACAGCTCATTATCTCTTCACATATGGTCTCTTTTGGGAGCCCTTCAACACATACTAGAAATGTGTTATAGCCTATTCTAGAAGTGTGTTCAAAAGAATCTAGAGACTGGCCCCAAATATAATAAACCTGTTCCAACCAATAATATTCAATATTGCGAGAATTTGACCTTTTACTTTTTAGATAATGAATGTTGAATTCTATTGCATCACAATATAGGTTGCAGACATTTTATGAATTTATAAATTTACACTTCTTTATAACTTTAAACAGGTTCATAGAAATAATTATATAATCATAACATAACTATTCTAAAATTGTTAAAATGATAGAACCATTTTATTTTTTATATTTCTTATTTTATTATTTTTATCTTTTAAGAATGTTATTCTATCTTATTTATAACTTTAAACAGGTTCATGGACGTAATTATATAGTCATAACATAACTATTCTAAAATCGTTAGAATGATAGAACCATTTTACTTTTTATTTTTTTATTTCTTTATTACTATTTTTTAAGAATGTTATATCTCTGATGGTAGCATTTTAATAAAAAATCCATACTATAAACCAATGATTGCCTCAAAGATAGCAGCAAACTACCCATATAATCCCTTTTAGAAAATGCACCAGCATATTTTTCAAATAGAATGTATCCGAACCTTTTAGACCATCAAGTACAGTACAGTTTTCTGGCAACTATTAACTCCTCTAAAGCAACAACAGCTTTTACAGTGAAACTACAGTGAGTGAAACTTTTACTAAACAGTGACAATGCAGTAACAGCAGCCATTAAAATCTTAAATGGAAACGAGATATATGAATACTTAAGGAACTCATTATTGTCACAAGTTAGAAGTATTACTGATTGTAGTCCAATCGAGGCAAATGAATTACACAAAGGAGCAAAGAAGTCAATACTCAACATTGAAAAATAAGCTACTGGAATATTTTACAGATCTCCAGTTGAATTAGTTTGTGTGACGTTCCACATGATGAGAGCAGCTCACAAGCAATGGTTAATGCAAAATAAATCTCATGCAGTGAGGTATAAGAATCATATTACATACCTTGTCAAGATTTAAAGAGGTAAGCTCTTCTTTGGGAACTCCCTTGACCTTAAAAACATGAGGAATTGTGGTATAGTAACATCTTGGGCTGCATGCTCTCTTTGTGGTATCCAAAAGTCTCTTGTTCTTCAATTGCTCTGCCAACTGCTTCTCCATAGCTGTTTTTGGAACTGTTTCAGCTAGTTCAGCCTCATTTGTGACAGTAATTTCTCCCCCAATTGGCTCTATTGTGCATAGAGGCAAATGAAAATTATTGAATAAAGTTCTTTCTCAAATAATGATACAAGAAAATATTGGTCAGAGCACTTGTAGCATTACTTTATGAAAATTATCAAATCACAGATTAGATATTGACACTAAAAATTGAGATGAATATTTTGGCAAACCCAAAAATAAAGGAAACAACTATTACAGGTCATGGGCATGAAATACGTGGAAGTGTACGAACAAGGGGATGGCTAACATGAAGGACAGCATGATGTTTGGTCGAGATAACAAAAGCCATAGGAGAAATTCTCAATTTTCTCTGGTCAGTCTGCAGTTTAGAACAGCAGAATCTCAATCGTCCCATGGGTTTTATTGTGTGGTTAGATAAAATGCAATAATTCACGGATGTTAATATGTTAACAGCATCATTCATTGATCTAAAATATCATGGACGTATGTATGGGCAAGGAGCACATTGTCGGATATCCAACAATCCTAGAGAAGTCAATAAATCTTCCAGTACACTATCTAGGATTTTGCTCAGCATTTAAAACAACCATTTGTTAAACACAAATGGCTAATTGTATGTAACAGCTCTTATCAGAGGAAAAAATTTTGTCGCAGTGAGCCACACTATGCACATCGCACATGGACACAGTAGCCCTGTCACATTGACCAGGAAAGGGTGTGAATGCAGCATTCCATAGGAAAGTATGAGAAGGTAACAAGTCTACCACTTCATCCATTGCAATCAGCCCCTAGCCTATCCAACCACCCACAGCAATCAGATTGTGGCTGACTGGCCACCAAGGGCACTATACGTGTCTCTAACAGAGAGCGACATGTAGAATGTCCAACTGTGGCAATCGGCCTGAAGGCTGCCAACTCCGCTGCATATCACCTCGCGGATGGTCGGTTCACCAGCATGTTCTATGCAACATCATGAAGTTAAGGAGTCATTTCAAGGGGTCTTTAACTCCTAAGGGATACACGTAAGCACAGGGTAAGTCGTTCCTTCAGTTGCTATGATGCTTCACCAGAAGAGCCTGCTGTGAGCCTATAGTTCCCCTATAAATAGAGGATCAATGTTATGTCCCTACTCCAATCATCATGTGATTACACTTTTGCTTGAAATCTCGGGTCCATTTTACATCCTGGTTCCAAAATTCTCAAGTGATCTACAAGTCAATGAGATTTGGCTCCTAAGCCCGCAAGTCCCCAGCACCTCTAGCCTTCAGCTTTCAAGCTCAAACCTAATAAAAGCTTTTAGACTTGCTTCTTAAGGCACTAGGCCCCTAGTGCACCAGAAAAGTACTCAATATTGGTCAGATATAAGGAATTAAGTCTTAGTTTTATGCAAGCCTCTTAACACCCTATTGACCCAAAAAAACAAAAAGTGTCTTAACACTCTTGATCAGAAGGAGCATGCTTCTATCCTCTTAGGGCTCGTGCTTTCAACAATACTTCAGGATCCGTACCCTATCCTATAATTAATCTTCACAAAATACATTAACAACGAGATAGACTTTATACAAACAAAATAAACACCTAATTATAGTATTATTTAGTGAGAATATACACTCGTCTTGAGTCGGCCGCTCTTGATGTCAAAAACAGCTCAGTTTAGTACTTTGTCATAAACCTTGGTATAACTTTTCTTTTTTTTTTCTTTCGTGTTTGGTAGGTCAGAAAGGGAAAGGGTTCACCATAGCCATCTTCATTGATTGTTGAAATGTTTAAATTAAATATAAATGATCGATCTTTGGAAAATATAGTTTGATACATCAGCAAGCAAGAAACAGCAAGATAAAATCAAGGAAACAAACACTCCAAACTGCAGCTGCTGATACCCTATCATCAAGCTTAGCAAGTGCACCACCACCTCATTTGCCTCTCCATATATACAACTAATATTCCATGTAAGCCTGATGTTTGCTGATGCAATTTTTAGTTATAGTGCAAAAGGGAAAAGGAGAGGAAACCCTGCTGACTAGGCAACCAACCAGAAGCATAGAATCGCCTTTTTTATATTAGTGAAGAATGCCCATTTCTTGTGCACTTATCTCCAGAAACTTTTTGGTATTGATGCCCAAGGGAATGGAAAATGCCACAATATTATAGCCAACATGATTATGAATCGTGCCTCCATAACCCGTATTTCCCAGATTACAACGAGATGCATAGTCAATGTCAAGCATTAGGAGCGTGGGTAAAATGCCAAGAAAGTAGGAGGTTTTGCACAACGTAAAGAACTCACTCAGATGAAACACTACCTCTGACCATCTGCGAAATCTAAAACAAAAGGAAAGGATCCTTCGAAGAATATACTCTTTTAAACCCCTATTCCTTCCATGTGTCCAATTGTGCTATTCCAGACAAATGTCCAGTAAAGTCGCCCTAAACAAAGAAGTCAAACATTTGACATGCCTTTTGATTAAAACAAGATTCACTCCATCAGAGAGAGTTTTACATAGCAACACCAAGTGTAGGCAGACGATTATGCAAGGAAAGCAACATGAACCACTTAACCCTAGGGTGTTTTGAGTTAAAAGAAAGCGTTTTAAAACCATAATAAACCTGCACTCTCATGTTCCCACAAATGTTCTAAAAAATGCTGGGCAGTGCCTAGGCCACCTAGGCACCCTGTTTCAAGGCACCCCAGATACACTTATATGCGTATATGTGTGCTCCAAATGCATAGAGCTGCAGATATTCTATCATTTATTCATATTCATGCATTTAAATGAATACCAACGAAGTATATATGCAAATACATTGTCCTAAATGCTGAAACAAATTTAAATAATTGAAATGATTTGAGTTACATTTGACATTACAGAATTGTGATCAATCAGTAGCAACAATGTTTGCATTAAATCGAAGTTAATTAACTCATCATCATCATCATAGCATTTCTCCAATTAATTGGGATGGGCTACATGAATCCTGGTCAACCATTCTGCTCTATTAAAAGCCATAGCCTCAACGAAGCCAAAAGTCCCCCCTATCTTTTTGGACTATTTTCAACCACATCATTTTGGGCCTATCCCGTGCCCTTTTCAGTCATTCCACATAAACTAACTCGCACTGCCTAACAGGTGTTGTACTTGATCAGTGCCACACATGGCCAGCCCACCTAAATCTACTTTCTCTCATCTTATCGTCTATTGGTGCCACACCTAAATTCCTCCGAATGGATTCATTTCAAATTCTATTCTCGTCTTGCCACTCATTCATCTCACATCCACATCTCCGTTGTACTCATTCTAAGGATATATTGCTTTTTGTCCACCTAACACACCGCCCTAAGAGCAGAGCGAGTCTCACAGCTGTCCTATAGAACTTGCCCTTCAGCTTCATTGGTTGCATTGGTCACATAAAATTCTAGTTGCACATCTCCAGTTCGCCCATCCAGCTCTAATTCTGTGTGCAACATCTTCCTCAATCTCTCAATTTTCTTGGATCATCGACCCACGATATCAAAAGTGCGGTCTTTTTTGTACTTCCTGGCGGTCAATATTAACTGCTTCCTCGTCTCTACTGCTATTATTACTAAACTTGTATTCCATATACTCTGTCTTAGTTCGGCTAATTTTAAAACTTTTGGATTCTAGAGCATCCCTCCAAAGTTCCAACTTTGTGTAGACATTCTTTCAAGTCTCATCGATCACAACTATGTCATATGTGAATAACATACATCATGGTACCTCATCTTGTAGATACCTAATTACGTCATCCAGAACTAAGAAAAAGAGGTATGGGCTCAATGCTGACCCTTGATGTTAACTTATTGTCCGTAAAAACTCACTCATCTCCCCATTAGTTGTTCGTACACTAGTTAGTGCTCTATCGTACTTATCTCTCACCAAGTCGATAAGGGTCTGGAGCCTCCTTTCTTTTCCAATACGCACCAAATCAAACTTCGAGGTACTCTATCACAAGCTTTTTTTGGATCAATAAAGACCATGCAGAGGTCTTTTTCCCTTCGCCCTAAATTTTGCAATGAGTTGCCTAAGTAAGAAAATAGCCTCAGTTGTTGACCTTCCTGGCATAAAACCAAATTAGTTTTCATGTAAGATAATCAATTAACAACCACAATATAATGAAAGACTGAAAGTCTTAAAAGTAAAATGAAACAAAAGAATTTTAAAATAATTGAGTCTTCCATCCTCATTGCCTTTGGAATCATTGGTTTTGTCCATATGACCTCCATCAGAGTCAAGGCCATCATCATCAGAATCAGCACCCTCTTCAACATAATGGCCATCCTCCTTAGTTTCTTCTAAATCAACCTTCTCCTCCACATACTATCACCCTCGTCCTCCTCTATGACCCAAAAGGATGGTTGTCGATCTAGTGGCCCTCCTAGGGTAGGAAGCTTGTCCTAAAGCCTCCTCAAACATATCCCAAGCCAACCTCTCACCGAGAAAGATCTCATCAGTCTCAAGGTCTTCAACTAACACTCAATGACATCATACATGTCTTTGGATGCAATGGGATCCTTCTTCTCACGCTCACTAAAACACTCATTCAGCCTCTGATTGACCTTAATGAAGGCCAAATCAGTGAGCCTTATTGCTCTAGCCTCTGCCGTTTCTTTGTACCTGTTGGAAAATGCACGAGCTAGAATTTAGACTTAGGGAGAACTAAAGTAATATTGTAAACCAATTTACTAATATTGTTTTTTAATGACTAAAGCAATATTGTAAACTTACCATCTCAAATGAACTCCAATTGTGCTAACAAACAGATGAGCCATATGTTAAGCTCAATACTTAGATGGCCATCTTTTGTCAGTTTAGAGCACTACTCCCATATTGGCTCTACCATTGGGCTGCACTATATAACATCAAATATAATATACATTATGAAAGTTGAAACTACTAACTTGAAAGAAAATTTTCAAACAAGATATAGGTAATTACCTAGATCAAATTTGGTCCTTTATCTCATCACCATTCCTTCCCAAATGATGTTAATGCACAGTTCTATAAAATCAACTCCTGAACAGATATCCGTTGCAGGGTATCATTATCGGGAACAAGCCTCTCAAGACACTCATTAAAGCACTCCATAACTGCATGCTTCCTCTTAATATCCAGGCAAACATTTGTGGATTTTGGAGATGGTGTTCTAAGAAGAACAAATCCTGACAGGGGGAAGCAATATATCGACCATAACTTGAAGGCGAGTTCTTCTAACCAAGGGGATTGATGCAATCCTGCTGATGTCATTCTGACATCATCTGAGAGGTTCATTTCTTTTTATTTATTATTAGTTTTTACTGTTCATGGGTATTGTTCATGAGTTACCTTTCACAGCAGCATTTCTGAAAATTTTTAGTATTTTGTAGGGGCAGGTGGTGTGGATTTCTCAAGAATTATTTGGAATTTATTAGCTAATAGGGGTAGTTTGGTGCTTTATTATAATTTAGGGTTTCGAAGGGTGGCTTTTTGCAAAGAGGTTAGAGAGTAGTTTTTCTGTACTTTTCACTGAAGAAGGATTTCTCTCCATTACAGCAACTCTAGCTTCAATTTTACTAAATCTATTAAATTTCAGCGCTATTTTATTTTCGATCTGTTTTCATCTACACTTTGTCTTGCATCATAAAGTGTTGTATTCGCATCGCTGGTCTCTATTTGTGGTCATACCTGCTCATGAATTGACTTGATGTGCTCAGCCACGTCTTCACCCTTCCCACTAACCTTTCCTAAATTTGGTATAGGTACCAAATCTAGAACACTTAAAGCATTCTGTCCATACACAACGTCCAATGGACTATGCTGAGTGATGTGATTCTTTGACCTGTTGACAGCAAATTCTGCTTGTGGTAGTATATCAAATCCCATTGCCAACCAACCGTCGTAGTAAGTTGCCAAACTTCAATTAACCAATTTGTTTGGCCATCCCTTTGAGGATGATAGGCACTGCTAAAACATAATTCAGTACTTGTTTTCTTACATAAAGACCTCCAAAAACAGCTAATAAACTTCAGGCCAGGATCGGAAGTGATGCACTTTGTCATGCCATGCAAAGGAACAATTTCCTTGAAATAAAGACCAGTCACATGTGACGCATCCATAATTTTCCTACGAGGAATGAAGTACGCCATCTTTGAAAACCTATCCCCTATAACCATAATCAAGTCCATGCCACTAAGAGTCTGCGGCAGGCCAACACAAAATCCACACTCACGTCCAACCAAGGTGCTTTAGGAACTGGGAGTGGGGTGTATATTCCTGCTTTTTGAATAGTCCCCTTAGAAACCTAGCAAAGATGGCACCTCTCCACATGCCTAGTGGCATAGCAAGTACTGATGCTTCAGACATCTTCCATTTTACCATTTTGAAGCTATTCTCCGCATATCCTAAGTCTACTGGAAAACCCTTTTCTTCAATATGTGATAGAGGCAATCGGCATTCTGAAATTGCAGTTTCTGATCTTTAAAAACAAGTTATCCAAATCATCTAGCATAAAAAACCTCAAGAACATAAGATAATTTACGGGAATTCAAGCCAAGATCTCATGGAGTTGTTTTAATTCAATGGAATTCTATGTATATCAATTGTTTTATAGATAGTCAGCATATACAAGTTGTACCCATCAGGTTACAAGCAAACAGAATTGTATACATCAAAAGCATAGCACGGGATAAATAGCTAGTGAGATGTAGAGAGGATGGGGGAGGATCCATAATAGAGGTTGGGCTGACTATGGGTCCTTGAAGTATGTAGCATGTCGGCATGCAAAGCGGCAAAATTACTCTTCAAACCAACCAGACAATATGAACAGAAGTGGGAGCATCCTGAAGATCCTGGACCATATTTACACCTCATCAGTAAAGATTGATATAATTGATAGTGACCAGACATCACCTCACCTAAGGGATCACCTTCACCTCAAGGATTTTCAGTACACTAATTGAACCATACATTGTCATCTCAAAGTTGTGCATCATGTTTCTAAATACTCAAAGGGAATTATAGTGCATGTAATTATCTTATTGCTGCATTTAAGAGCAACAAAACTCACCAGATTAAAACCCTCCATAATAGGTTTTACACTTTAATGAATCTTTTTCTCTCCAGCATGAGAAGCACGGCCATATGCCATGTAATATGTTTCACATTCCCTTTTTAAAGGAAAATTAATGTTATTGGCACCTTTGTTGTTGACATGTATTACAAAGATTGTGGATTGAATTGACATCCATATAATAGGGAAAAATGAGTCTTTATAACCCTCACTGTCTCCAAGGTTCTATTCTATAATGTATGCATGAGAATGTCAAAGAATTTAGCTGAATACTCGACGTTTTGATAATATAACTCTTGATATCAAGAAACATTGAAGGATGGAAGATATTCAATAGAATAATAACCACCAAAATTCACATATTCTACTGGTTATTTGCAGTCTAAAGGATTCCAATTGCCGGAGGGGCATACCTCTTGTAATAGCATCATCCTCATATAACAAAACAACTTATTTTGGGTACTGCTACCATTCCAGAAACTCAAGATACTTGCAAGCTTGCCACCTAATCTGTTCACTCTCTTTTTAAAAACGCTCCATAACAAAAATATACCACATACTCCATATTGGTTCATTCATTTCAAAGAATAACAATTTTGCATACTCCATAAAATAAAATTTGAAAAGAAATGTTTTAGACTCCATGATAGTTAGAGATATTATTTTTGTCACGCTAGGAAATGGATGCAAGAGCCAATGCATCAGGAAATGTTTTATCCAAAAAAAAAAAGAAAAAAAAAAAGAAAAAGAAAAAGGAATATAGGAGATGCTGGCATAAGCTACCACTTCCCCTAGTTAATTGTTTTAGGACAAAATTTCTAGCACATCTCACACCACTTCCCTCATAAAATTACAACAGTATGGAAAAGAATGTGCTAAATTAGATAGAGGAAATGTTAGTATTCATGTGGGTTGCCTATTAACTAGGGTCAAATAGAGAAATCACAAGAACAATTAGGTTCATGGGAAGACTCAGCAGATCTCTAAGTTAAATGAGACAATTTGATGCATTGACATTGATGCCTAATATGACAAACAGAATTTCCTAAGGAAGCTCAATAGAAAGAACAATTTCCACTATAGCCTGAAAAGGCATTCTTATGGAAATTAATTACATCCTAAGAGCTCATAGATAGACAAAGGGAAAGCCTACTATAATAAGGATTATAAAAGATGATCATAATTTCAGTGGAAAGTTGATGCCCCAAGGACTACGATCATTCCATAGTCCTAACAAGTATATTTAGTTTCCCAAAAAGTAATATGTAATACTGTCTATAGAAGAAATTTGAAGATAACTCATTCTATCATTACAAACTTATAACATGCTTCGAATTCTCAACACCTTTTTATTTTTTTGATTCACACAGGCATAACTAAAAACAGATGCATTTCCAGACAAAACACTATCCATTAACAATATATAATTTATATCAAATGAAGAGAGTCATGTACTGATGTCCGACTATTTTCAAATCTTTGATTCTGAGCATGCAGAAATAAGTACAACAAAAATTATGGACATACCAATTCGTTTAATCACGTCTTTAGTGACATAGTTAGATATATGTATCCAATCCCAGAACTGGATTAAACCATAAGGGCCAAGTTGGTGGTCAAACTCTAAATTCTTGACAGCCATACTGTAGCACTCCTCCTGGAGACGGTCACAAAATTAGTAACAAACCAACAACACAGGGCGGATTTCTAGATGTTAGACAGTGTTTACACTAATAAATAGATATAAATATTAGAAAAAAATCCTCATCTCTGAATAATTTTAGAAATCCTCATATTGCTCAAGTCAAAGTCACAAATTAACTGCAAATATCACATCTGCCACTGTTATTTCCCAACTAGGGAGACGGGTAAGGACTATAGATGAAATCAGCAGAACTGAGAGCAAGAGATAGAACATAATCAAGAGCATAGGAACATCAATACAGCAATGAGATCGTTACTGTAAGTACCAGGTTCCTGCAATGAAATATTGAATGGTCTAAAGAGGAACATTTGATTCCTTTTCTAGAAAGTTTAAAAAGGGGAAAGGCAAACGTGTATCTGCTTTTATAATTTTTTAAATGTCTTGGTTTTGAGGAGGATGCAGTGCAAATAGTGACTGCCTCAAGGAAATTTGGGAACTAAGCTTGAATTTGAGGTTTTCTTTTGAGTCTTGGGGTTGTGCTTGGATGGCAGCATAACCATAAACATTATATGCTAGATAAGTATTTTAAGGTTTTTATGAAATATGGGCTTTGGTTTTGTAGCTGTACAAGATGCAGTTCTTATCGGAGTTATGGCCTTTCAATGCCTTGACTCAGCCATTTCATGATAGTGATTGGTCACTGTGAGAGTAAACCGAGACGGTGCACTTACTAGACTTTAAAAACTAGGATCCGGAAATTTGAAATACCCCGAGTCATGAGGCATGTCCAGAGGGCCTTATTCGGAACCAAAAGGTTTGAGAGTCTCCTCTAGTCAAGGCCGGTATGAGAACGCCTGATGTGTGTGAGCTAGGGCATGAGAGATAGCATCAGAGAATCTAATTTGATAGAGCACACGTGTGAGAAGAAGCCCTGTGTGAGTAGACTAGGCGTTGAGAGGGCATAAGCATAAATCCCTGACAATTCAATTTACACACAGCATGTGCATAGGACAGTCGCAAATGGGAAGCCGCTCTGATAAGTTGATCCGCTTAATCAGAGCTATGAATATGTACTAGAGAGAGGACCCCCGCATCCACAAGCCTAAATCCCTAACAATTTAATTTACTCACAGCATGTGCATAGGACAGTCGCAAATGGGAAGCCACTCTGATAAGTTGATCCGCTTAATCAGAGCTATGAATATGTGCTAGAGAGAGGACCCCGCATCCACAAGAGTACATGTCCTTGGGGTGCACCTATAATTCACTGAAAATCCAGAAACCAAAGCCATCTATTAGCTCATGTTTGATAAACCAAGCATGTGTCGCTGCTTAAGACGATGAGACATGGGTTTGTCGTGTTAACTTGAGAAAATGGCCAAAGGTTCTAAAGCTAGCGCAATGGAGTATCATACAACTCAACCTCCTAAAGGATCCTAATTTCCCAGTTTGGATTTTTCTTGGACACCAAACTGAGTAAATTTGATGGAGAATGATGAGTTATGGTGATTTTTTAGAATTTTGAGGAATTTTTATTTTGAGTAAAAATGGCCTAGAAAAATTGTTGGCACATAATTCCACCTAAAGACACCCCCCACATATGGAGTGTAGCACACTAATGGCCAGTATGTGCCATGCATGCTCCATAGGGTGCCACCTCACTCCCATATAGAGGTGACATGGACTATCCCCCTTGGGGTGTGGGCCCGTGTTTGGTTAGACCACATATTATGGTTATGTGCCATATTGAAATTAGGGTTTTTACTACATTTGTGTGTATGTACATGTATGAATGAGGGAAATTATTTTTTTCTTAATATTATTTATCTTATAGAAATGTGTTTACATGTGTTGAATTTATATTGGTTAAGTACTAAGGTTCATGAACCTCATTAGTGTGGTGAGAGAACTTATGACATAATGTGTAAGGAGTGGTCTTCCAAGTGAAAGTGACATTTCAAACCATTTGAATTTTGAATTTCAAAAATTGAAAAGGGAGACAAAAAGGAGTGTGATGCCCAACTCATGGAAGATTTATAATGTGTGGTCATGATTAAATATTGAAAAATGAGTGCTAATAAAAGGCCATCCAAAATAATTAGGGTTTTTCAATAACAAAGAGCTCATGGGAAATTTGGAGGGCATTTTGGTATTTGGTGATAATGGTGATTAAATCTCACCTGTCGTATGACAGCCAAGGACGGTGATGAGCAAGGCTAGGATCAATGCCTCTCCATAACCTTGGATAACTCATTTGAAGGCCAAGAGTCAATCTAGCTTTAAACCCACACTTAGACTACCTATACAAACTTATTTATCCTGATCTCTCTCATTCACTTAGAACTTTTAGAGAGTTAGGGAGAGCTCCAAGAGAGGCACGCCCCATTCAAACCTTCTTGCCTTCTTTCTTTACCCAATTGTGAGTGAATAAAGAAGAGAATAGTGCCTTGCAATGAGAGTCCCTTCCATAGATGCCTATACGTCCATTAGGATGCAACTTTCGTGAGAAGCTCTCTACACCTTCAAGGTCCCTTTGGCTTGCTGTAAATACATATTAACAGCAAGGTAAGCTTGTTCTTTTGATTCTTTTTTGCTCAAATTATAAGTTTCGTGCTCACTAGTCTATCATTGTTTCGTTTGTATGCAATCACTATACCATCTAGCAACTCTTCAAATCATTTTGATTGCCACTTCTTTGTTGTAACTTCCTGAGTTTTTGAGCCTAAAAGTATGCTTTTATGAGCTCTCACTATGTCCATTCGGTGCAAGGCACTAATAAAGTTCTATTGCATGTGCATCCATTACTCTTTAAACTACACCTTTCCTTTGTCTCTATCTCCCACACGTTGTGCTCTCTAGCTCTCCCACATGTATCCCACACATGGTTCATTTTAGGCCCTCTTCTTATTGAATTCACATAGAGTATTAAGCATCCTTTAGTCTGGACAGGTTCCATTATGGTGCATGCTTCACTTTTGATTTAATCGAAGCCTCATTATCATGTGCTATCAAGAAGAGTTATAATAAAGGTTGTGTATGAGTCCGTGGAGGCCATCCCGATAATTTGAGAAAATTTCATCGGGTTCCCATGCCATTAGACTAGCTGCATATATTTGTTTTTGGAGATTGAATTCATATAAGTGTTTGCATTCTAAGTGTTTGTGTCATTTCAGGAGTAATATGTAAGTGGATGAATTTTGATCAAGAGATATTGTATCGTACTTCCTTGATTTTGTATAGTATCCCTCTGAATGAAAATTGTATTAGGGACTAATTGAACTGATCCTCATAAATTTTGGCGAGATCGTATGTGAGGATTGATTATCATGGTACCATCTACACAGCTGTAAATCGTATACACCAAGTGTAATATAAGTTGTATTAAATAAACTTAGATGGTCCTATATCTTGGACTCATCCTCTATACACTTGGACAGTTATGTGGAATGTTTCACAAATTTGGAGAAAGACTGTAATGTATTGGCAGAGGTAGAAATTGTTGGATATATGGGCCTGTCAAGTATGCAATGCCAGCACTGTTCAAAGTAACAGTGGGAGTGACCAGGAACATAGTGGCTACCAGTATCTTTGCGTACTAGAATATGGATAAGCCAAAAATAATCACGCTTGATTGACTGAGGTGAAGTTCTTAGAACGATATTGTGAACCGAGAGGTTTTGGGGTTTTCCTCTAGTCAAGGTCGGTATGCCTGTGTTAGCCTTATGTCCTGAGAGCCGAGGCTTGGGGATCAGTGGTTCCCAATTTGTTTGAGAAATGTTGTGTATAAGCCCTGAGTGAGCATAGCTGAGCTTTAACAGGACATAGGCTCAAATCCCTTATATATTTAGCTTGCTCATAGCGTGTGAACAGACAGTTGCACTTTGAGAAGCCGTTCTGATGAGGTAAGATTTTTTTTTAGAATTGTTAACATTGTATTACTAAAACAGTAAAAGTTTACAAGAGGTGTGGGACTGAAGGCACCCTCGAAGGGTGACATTCAGTAAAAAAATACATTTAGTGATCCATGGTCAGATAGGCTTATAAGACCGCCTAAATTACAAAGTATACAGTTAGATTTACAAAAAATTAAGAACAGAGCTGTGGCTTGCTCGTGTGAAGCAGGCTAAGTAGTGCAGCTATAGTCCTGAACAAAAAAGGAGTTGGACCTGGCCTGGTTATCGATTACGAAGCTAGCTCCCTCCTTCGCCAAAAGATCTGCAAGATCGTTGGACGTCCTCTAAGTATGTCTCCATGAGACACTCGTACCCCTGCAGATGTGGGTAATTTCGTCAAAAATAGATGAGCATTGCCATGGTGGAGAGGAGAGGCCTCTTGCTCAAGAGATGGTGTTAAGAGAGTCTCTTTCCACAATCAGAATTGTGCCCCAGGAAGGATTGAGGTGTCTCAAGCCCAAAAGTAGAGCCATAGCTTCTACGTATTGGGAATCATGGGTCCCGAGGTACACAGAGAAGGTGAAAAGGACATTTCACTGGCAATCTCTGAAAACACCCCCTGCGCCTAAAGGGCCGGGATTACCAAGGGAGCAGCCATCAAAATTAAGCTTGATGCTGCCCTCTGGTGGTGGTTGTCAATTGCTAGCTCTTGAGGGTTTTGAAGGCCTGTGGTTGAGGACATTTTTCCATTGAGAGAGGAGGGTATTTCTAGATATACTCGAGAAAGTCTTGTGGTTTGCAGCCCAAAAGGTGGTCAGCGAGATAAACTTGTCGAAGAGAGCTGGTGGTTGTAGCTGAACACCATTGAAAATTTTGTTGTTCCTTTCTAGCCATAAAGTCCAAATAGTAGCAGCGACTGTAGCCTTTCCATAAGGATTTTCCAGCCAAGGGCCACTGTGCATCGAAGTTGAAAGAGATCAGTGCCCTGACCGTGGGTGGAAGAACCCATTGGATGCGGAAAAGTTGAAGCACTTGGGACCAAAGTTTATGGGAAAAAACACAATGAAGGAAAAGGTGGGGGTTGGATTCCTCCTCGCATAGACAAAGAGCACATCTGTT